CCCCCCCCCCCCCCCAACGTGCCATGGCACAGCCGATCCGGTGCTCCCTGCAGCCCCGCTAGAGAGGAGGAGGCATTCCCTGCTCAGAGCCCTTCGAGGCTCCTGGTTTCAACCCGTTTGGCGACACGCACCCCTTTTCAAAACATGCTTTTCTCTGCACAACCTGAACGTGCAGAATGACAGAGGAATACAAACGCATGCTCGAGCAGTTACACTGAACAGTTTCAGGCCCAATTTGAGCCTCTTTGTTAAAGCTATAGATGATTACAGTTAATGATTCTAAAACGGTATTTGGAGATTCTGGAGCCCATTGGTGTCCTATGACCGCATCTGTGCCTTCCACGGGTGGCAGACACAGCCGCTCCCAGCACCGCTGTGGGTGGTCACCAACATTCCCGGTGGGAACGACTGAGTTCAAACGCAGATGTCTCCCCCCAGCCAGGGTCACACCTCGACTTCCCTCTGTGCACCTGCTTCAGCAGCTCCCCTCACGCCCACGAGGCTCCCAGGCCGGACCAGGTCTGGTCCTGCTGACCTAACCTGACCTTAACCCACCTGCCCCCCCTCCCCAACTTAGCACCCTCCCCATGCTCCAGCCATGCGGAGCTCTCTCCATTCTGGTTCCTGCACTCACCGTGTGTCTCACCTCTGCTCCTGCCACACCCTCTGCCTGCTCGGCCCTTCCCTTCCTTTCTCTATCCAGGGACCTCCTTGGTTCTCATTCAGGCGCCTCCACGGGCCTGACCTCCGACCCTCCCACAGAGCGAGAGTCCCTTCTCTGGTTCCTCCCCTGTCCCTGGACTGTCCCTGCCTGTTGACTGGTCTCCTTTTTATCAAGGTGAGAGCCCTGGAGGTCAGTGAGAGAGTGGGAGTGTCGGGTTGTGAGTCCCCCCTCACAGCTGGAGACATGGCTGCAGAATGAGTTCTCTGGGAGGGTGGGCAGGTCCCAGCCAAGGTCAAGGCCTATGTCCTCATCCGTTCCCTTGACATGTGGCATTCAAGGCCCACTTACCACCATCACACCTGCTGTTAACACCCTCCAGTTGTCCTGAGACACGGTGATCCCCGAAGATGGCCAGGTCTGAAGTCTCCACGTCCCAGGGCCACTCCCCACCCCAGGTTCAGGCCCTACCTCCTTTGGGACATCTGCCTTTGTCCATCCTCTGCCCGGCCTGGGCCTCCCCCACCCGGCCGTGCGGCTGCCGGCCCTCACCGACAGCAGGAAGTGCAGCTCGTTGGTCGTGGGGTTCTGTACGATGAAACTCTGTAGCATCTGGTCCAGGGCCTCTGCAGTCTTGTTGTACAGGGTCTGTGAGGGGACATGGAGCACGTCAGCAGCTGCCAAGCCCCAGCAGCGACAGAGTGCCGAGGCCCGTCGCAGGGCCGGAGTGTGCTGGCCTCTCAGCGAGAGTGGTGCCTGTTCCTGCCCATTCCCAAGGCCAGGATGCACACTGTGTGTGTTTACACCAGGCCCAGGAAAGGCCCTGTCCCAGTCCCCGTTTGGAAGCTGAGGAGACGGGGCAGTGGCAGTCTGGGTCAGGCCTGCCCAAGGTCACAAGTTTCTCAGTGGCCAAGGTCAGTTCCTTCCCAGTGAGGCTGGCTTCTCGGGCAGGCCGCCTGCCGGAGACCTGGAGCCCGGGAGGATTTAGTTGATTTAGCGCTTTGGGTTTCCGTCTTGATATTCCTCATCAGCTTTAAACAAGGGCCCAGTTTCCTTTTGCATTGGTTGTGGCAGATGATACAGATGGTCCCAACTCCTGGGTCTCACGTGAGGGCCCCAATCTCTGCTGCTTGGCTCCCTGGGCATGCTCGGGGAAGGTGGCGGCCACAGGAAGTACCCAGCCCTCCTCCCTGGGACAGCACATCAGAGCAGAGCCCTGGGCACTGGCTATCAACTCCCCGGGTGCCCTGGGGAACTCGTTCCAGCTCTCTGTGCCTACCTTCATCACCCAAGAACTGGGCGTGAAGCCAGCCCCACTTGCCAGGGTGGTGGGGCACACGGAATGGGAATAAACAGGAGCCCCCGCCTGGTGTCTGGCACCAGGTTAAGCTGCCTGGGTGAGCAGCCATGATGCTGTCATCTGGCGATGGTTGTGGTCTGGAGTCCTGCAGGGTGGGGTGGGGGCCGGTGCCAGCCTTCCAGGGGGCTGCTTCTGTGGTATTGCCCTGGGCCCAGGGGACCCTTTGCACTCACACCCCCCATCCGAAGGGCTTGTCTGTTCCATTCCAGTCTGGACCCAGCCTAGGGCTGTGGTGGGACGATCAGGGCCCAGGGCCTGGGGTGAAGTTTGACCCTGCCTCTCCCACCAGACATCTCCATTTCTCTGAGCGGGTTTCCTCACCCACGGGGCGAGTGCTGCTGGGAAGGGGAACCATCATGTCCATGGGAGCTGGCGCCTAGCAGGTGCTCAGCTAACACCAGTTCCCTGCCCTTTACAGTAAACACTTAGGCATCAGGGGCTGGTGGTGCCCCAGGGAGATGGGTGCCTGCCCCTGCAGCAGAGGCTTTGCTTAACAGATCCCCAGAGGTGGTTGGGATCTGGCCCAGCAAAGGGTGGGCCAACTGGGGCCTGGGTGGGGTGTGACTGGTTTAAGCAGCTTCATAGGTGTGACTGAGCCCAGGGCTGCTCCCAGGGCTGGCAGGGACAGAGGCCACCTACACTCCCATTCACAGAGCATCCTCTGCACAGACACGGGACACCAGTGTCTGCTTTCAGCCCGAGTTTCACACCCCAGCATCTCCACAACGATCACTCCCATGTCACAGGTGGGCAAATAGAGGCTCAGAGCAGTTAAGAAACATGCCCACAGTCTCCTAGCTCTGTGTGCAGGGGGTCAGAGGCCCTGCCTGTCTAGCCACACCTCGTCCTAAGCCACAAGCAGCTGGGGGCAGAGCTGGGGCCCCTCTCACTGAAGGGCACCCTGTCCCAGCCTCGCACCTGTATGTTGGGTGGCTCTAGAAAGAGACAGGTGTGTTTCTCCAGGACGTCCAGCAGGGGCAGGGCCAACACGCTGTGTAGGCAGACGGACAGAATCCATGACTTCCTCTCCAAGTCCAGGGGTGGCCTCAGCTTACTGTTTGGAGGTAGAGGGCAGTGAGAGAGGAGTGTGGGGGCTGGGGACAGCAGAGGGAGCACTGGCTGGGACAGACAGAGTCGGTGAGCCCCGAGCAGCAGCCTCTCATGCTGTTCTGCTCTCGACCAGAGACTCAAGGGTACACGTCAGCCTCCCTGGACTGTGTGGCCTCCTGGACGGGGGAGTTCCCCGAGGGTTTGTAAGGGATTTGTGTGGCTGGTTAGGAGGAGTCACTTTGCAAGCCCTGCACCCCGAGCTCCCCTTTCCTGGACTGACCGGTCTCACCCCAGCCCCGGTTACACCATTAGGAACTTCAGCAGCTCTGTTTTAGCAAATGATGGCAAATTTTCATTCTTTGGGGTGGGGGTTGATAATAGTGGCTGCTGTTTACTGAGGGCCTGTTACAGGCCTGCCCTGGGGTAGGGCCCTGTGTGGGGCCGGCGAGCCTACCAGAGGCTGGCGACGATGTGAAAGGCCTGCTGGCGAGTTGAGGTGCACAGCGTGTCCTGGGGTTCCTTCTCCACCAGCACCTGCAGATCCCCAGGTGGGCCCAAGTCACTCAGGCCCGGGCCTATCCCAATCCTGACACCCAGTCTCATCCTGCCTGAAGATCTTGGTGCCTGGTACTCCCATGACCCACAGGGCTGTGCTCCAGCTTCTCTCCGACCCATGGGGGCCTCTGTGACCCGGCTGCACTGAAAGAACTGGATCCCAGTGTTTGGCACAGGTCGTGTCTGGACCTGGCTTCCTGAGTATTGGCTGCGTGACCTTGAGCAGGTCTGCAAACTGCTCCAGCTTTCGTTGGTTCACAAATAACAGTGTGGTTGCAGGCACACGGGTGTGGCAAGGTGTGCAGAGCCTGGTGTCTGAGTCAGCAGCAGCTCAGGAAATGGTTATTCTCACGCTTCAACTCGCCCGTCACTTGTATGCTTCCTCCACTACCCTGGGGTCCTGTGAGCCCCAGATCTCTAGCGAGCAGTGGTCTGAGCTAGGATGGTAGTAGCAGAACGGATAGTGTAGGTTTTCTGGGCCTCAGCTACCTCAGCTGTGAGGTAGACATTCCTGGCCAGTTCAGGGTCACTTCTGAACCAAGGCAAGGGGGGGTGCATGGATGTACTCCCAGCTGCCGGAGCCTCTGAGGGGCTTAGCCACACCCCAGAAATCCAACTTCCCTACCCCTTGGCAACGCCTGCCTCTAGTGGATGCTGCTGGTCCCGTGAGGCCCTTCCTCTGCCCCAGGACCTTGACTCACCATCAGACACTCAAGGAGCTCAGAGATCTGGGAGAACTTGTAGCTGTGGGCTCCCTCGTTGCGGCTGATGGCCCCCACCAGCATGAGGACAGCGGTGAGGAAGCTCTGCTTCAGGGTCTCGTCCTGGCATGGGGTCAGGCCGTGGAACAGGGGGTATAGGGGGGCACAGGAAGGGCAGGAGAAGGAGTCACATGTGGCTACAGGGCATTGCTGAGGGGGTACAGCAGAGGCCTCGGCTGAGGCCACATATGTGGGGCTTTGGTGGGGGGAGCCTGTGTGGTTTTGTTTACATTGTGAATATGTTGACAACATTTCAGTATCAGGCAGTGCAGTGAGGAGCCCAACATCCGGCCTCCCTCAATGTGTGGCTCCTCAGCACCAAAGATCTAGGGTAGGTGATGGCCTCACAGGGCTTCCTGGCCCTCGTGGTCCCCTGGGATAGATGCCCCAGATGCAGAGTATTGAGTAAGGGCAATGTTGTCCTGGGGGTGGGGTGGGAGTCACCTGGCCTTCCGATGGCCCAGAGTGAAAACCACAGAGAATGAAGGCTGGGGTCATCATGGAAGCCTCCAGTGGCTTTGGGTGGGATGATGGGGTGAGGAGGTGGGGTAACGAGGAGGCCAGGCCTGGCTCTTCCTGACTCCACGGTGGGGCAGAAGTGGGGAGGAGGGCTCCAAGGCCCTGGGAAGCCCTAGAATATCTGACCCAGGTTCTAGTGGGACCTGGGCTATGACGAGGCCATGCTCCAGAGGGGTGGCCCTGGGGAGCCATACCCAGGAGCTATAGTGGAAATAGAAGACCATCCGCGACAAGATGTTGTCCACCCACGGGAGGATGTGCGCCTTGGCCCTGACTGCCATCTGACCGTAAGCGAGGAGCATGGTGCTGCTGGCCCACTTCCACTGCAGGTCCTCTGAGTTCTGACCACAGCAGGGGCAGATATGGAGGGTCAGAGCCCTCCTGCCCGTCCCTGGGGGAGCGGTGACAGGAAGTACTCTGGCCCCTAGCTCGGTACTGCAGGACGGTGTTCTGAGTATTGGTGAGACTCAGTTTACCTCAATAGGAAAATAGGAGAGATGAAGTTGTCTCTCGGGGAGGGGGGTGGTTAGGATGGGCCTGGGGGTTCCCCAGAACGTGCCAGAGTCCATCCCTCACCCTCCCTGCCTGGGGTGGGGGGGCCATCCAAGACACCCGTCAGATACCAGCCGAGGGTCACATGGCTCCACTGCCCATCAGTGACCAGGCCCCCTCTGGTTTGAGATGTGGGTCCCAGTCCCTGCTCTGCCACCTGCCGGCTGTGGGACCCCGAGGAGGCAGCCAGCCCTTGCTGGGGTGTCTGTTGCTAGCGGTGATTCTTCCCCATTAGTCCTAGTGAGCGCCCTTGTGCCGTCCCAGGCACTGCTGCCGCCTGCAGGAGTTATCAGGGGAGCAGTGAGGACGGGGTGGACGTGCCATCCACCGGCAGGGGCCCAAGCCCTTGTCTCATGTTTCAGGCAGGGCCCGTGGCCCAAGTCCCATTCATGAACACAGCAGTCATCACAGCCCCTGCAAGAGCCGTCACTGGAGCACCTGCTCAATGCCAGGCCCATTTTCACCCCAACAGCCGGGGGGTGGCTGTCGTTCAAGAGGAGAAAGGGGCATAGTGCAGGTGGACTGGAGGCCAGGATGCTTGCTGCAAAGCCTGTGCCCTTAACTGTCCCCGGAGACCCTCTGGGAGCCCCGGACCCTCATGGAAGGCGGGAGTCCTGATGCTCCGGCCCCCTGCCAAGGCCCCCAGCCACCCAAGAGTCAGAACCTTCAGGCAGGAGCTCTGGAGGCTCCATTTAATGGGCGTGCTCTGGCCAAACTGCTCCAGGACAGCCCAGACGTGGTCCAGGTGGCGCACGGCAGCCAGTCCTATGGTGAGCGCCATACCCTACAGGGGCAGGGGAGCAGGATCACTGATGCAGGTCACAGAACCAGCCTGGACTCTCACTTGGGGATGTGGAAATTGGCACCCAGAAAGGGGGGGGTTTGTCCAAGGTCACAGGGCATCTCCCTTCCATCCCCATGCTACTTAGGATATGCAACTCTGAGCCCAACCCTGTGGGGGCATCATTTATGGGGGCTGGTGGGGGCTGTGGGAGGCAGCAGGGATGGGTGACTCTTTGGAGGCCTGTTACCTTCCTCTGCCCCCACTATCTCTGAACAGACCTGGGCCAGAGGAAGAAAAAAGGGTCCAGAAAGTAGATGAGTGACAAAGGAGAGGACACAAGCTGTGATGGGCTCAGAGTGTGACCAGGGTCAGGGTTCAGAGAATGACCAGGATCAGGGTTCATTTTGTGACTGGGATCAGGGTTCAGGGTTCAGAGTATGCCCAGTGTCAGGGCTCGTAGTGTGACCAGGGTCAGGGCTCAGAGAGTGACTGGGATCAGGGCTCAGAGTGTGACTGGGATGAGGGCTCAGTGTGTGACCAGGTTCAGGGCTCAGAGTGTGACCAGGATCAGGGATCAGCGTGTGAAAAGGATCAGGTTTCTTTGTATGACCTGAGCAGGGATCGGGGTATGACCAGGGATCAGACTAAGGCTGAGGTCACGATCAGGCAGCCCTGAGCTGGGCTGGGCTGGGGGTACTGGGGCCTCACCTCCCTCTGCTTGGGCCACTGGTGGGATGTGTCCAGGAGGCTTCTCAGGTGTGCCCTGACGGTGGTGCTGTTGTCCTCAGCTTGAAGGATCAGCCCATAGTAGATGAAGAGAAAAGCCTGGGGGAGGTTCAGCTTCTTGTCCTGGGCCTAAGCCACTTCCGCTCATCCAGACAGCCTGCCTCCTCCCCCGACCAGGCTCCCCTAGCTTCCCTGAGCTCCTGTTGCCGCCCTCAGGACCCTGCTCTGGGACCATCAAACCCCTGCCTGGTGGTGGAGTTTCAGGGGAGCAGTTCTAAGTCCTGATGCTCAGGCCCCTGACCCGCTGGTTTCTTTGGGTCCCAGTGTCTTTCTAGGGCCCTGGACCTTGCTTTAGATGTGCCTCCTATGGCCAGAGCCCCTGGGCATGTGCGGTAGGCATGGGGGCTGCTTATGAGGAGACAGGGAGTGGTCCACCTTCTCTGGGGGCTGCTCCTGGCATGTCTGGTCGGGCCTGGTGAGTGCCAACAGCAGTGCCTTGTACCACGCATCTGTGTTCAGGAACTGGACCGACTTGACAGCCATCTGTGAGCAGAGGGGGGTGGGCAGGGCTGGAGTGCTCTCTCCCTCCACCCTGCGGGCTGGAGCTGAGGCCTCCACCTTCCCCGTCCCACCCCGTCCCACCCTGACTCAGGCCCTGAGTCCATCATTCTCTTGGCTTCATTCCCCTGAGTCTCCAGGGCCAGCCCTCTGATTTGCCTGATACCCCCCAGGAACAAGGAACTCATTCCCTGAGATCCCCTCCCTGGAGGTGTTCAAGGAGAGGCTGGAAACCAGCAGTCTGCCCGTGTCCCCGGCACTGGGCCGAGGCTCAGACATCACAGAAGCTCAGTGCCAGCTGAAGGGGGCCCAACCAGAGTGAGAGTGCCGGGAGACCAGGGTCTGTCACCCGCGTTCCGGGCTGTCTCCCTGGCACCCGGCACGGTGCCTGCCATGTAGTCGGTGTTTGATTAATATTGTTTGGAAGGATGAATGAGAGATCGAATAAAGAGATGACGTGTGTCTTCTAAATGTAAGTCCTAGAAGTTTCGCCCTAACATATGAGGACCACGGGGCTTCTCTATTTCAATGTTCCCATTTCCACAGTTTGACAAGTCCAAGATTTTGATCCCCAGGTCTTTGGGGGTGAAGATACTCCTAAGTTTGATCCCAAACCCCCAAATCTAAAAGAAATGATTGATAAATGTGAAGATAGATATTTGAAGAAGTTTGTTCAGCAAACCCACCATAACTAAGCTGAAAGAGGCAGTAAGTTGTTTTTGTTTGCTTGTTTTTTTGTTTTCCTGCAACCCATTGTCCAGGGTTAGTATCGGGGGGAAGATCTTCACAAAGCAGTAAGGGACGGGGACGATCGTAGGCACGGCGAGCGCGCACGTGCGTGACAGACACACCACACGCCAGAGCCTGGCTCGTGTGTAAGGAACGAAGTGAAGACAATGTATCGTTTCAGCTAAGACTGGCCCAAAACAGGACGGCCGGAGGTCAGCAGGAAGTGTCCTTTGGTGGGAAGGGGATGGGCCGCCGTGAATTTGGCTGCATCTGCTACAGTTTGAAATGTGCGCGTTTCCCCAGGCAATTCCGTTTCCAGGAATTCATCCTAAGGAGCGCTAACAGGTGCCCGGGGTGGAACACGAGGGTCTTTATCCCGCAGCCTCGCGGTTGCCGGACGCAAGCCCGCCTAGAGCGCCTCCTGCAGGCGGGCCCTGCGGCGTCCTCTGGCGATGCTCCCTGGGGCGGGGGCGGGGGCGGGGGCTTGCAGCCCAGGCTGGAGGAGTTGTCTGCCCCAGGTTTGCCTGTGCCTGCAGGACGCTGGGGTGCAGCGGGGCCTGATGGCTACTCCAGGCCGCAGACCCCAGGACCAGTGTCTGCTGAACCCATGGAACCCGCGCTGCCTGGAAGCCCCAGTTCTCAACTGGTGTCAACTTTGGTTCAGTGTTGCACGGGCCGGTGCCTCAGCGACTCATCTGAGGTTCAGGTTCAAAAACTCAGAAAATTACACATGCCCCACCATGACTGATTATTGACCCTGTTCCCCATGCTGCACTTTCCACCCCCGTGACTTATAACCGGAAGTTTGTACCTCTTAACCTCATTCACCTGTTTCACCATCCTCCCACCCCTCCCCTCTGGCAGCCCCCAGAGCTCTGTATTCAGGAGTCCGGCTTTTTGTTCATCTGTTTTGTTTCTTCAGTTCCACATATGAGTGAAATCATATGGTATTTGTCCTTCACTGACCGACTTATTCCACTCAACATAATACCCACTATGTCCTCCCACGTTGTCCTGGGTGGCAAGATCTCATTCCTTCCTACGGCTATGCAAGGTTTCATGCCTTATCTATTCATCAGTTGACGGACTCTTGGGCTGCTTCCGTGTCTTGGCTATTGCAGATGATGCTGCAGTCAACTCGTGACACCAGTGGGAATGGCAAAGATCAACAGGACAGGAAACACGTGTTGGAGGGGATGTGGAGAAAGGGGAACCCTCTTACACTGTTGGTGGGAATGCAAGTTGGTGCAGCCACTTTGGAAAACAGTGTGGAGGTTCCTTAGGAAATTAAAAGTAGAGCTTCCCTATGACCCTGCCATTGCACTACTGGGTATTTACCCCAAAGATACAGAAGTAGTGAAAGGAAGGGCCATCTGCACCCCAATGTTCATAGCACCAGTGGCCACAGTCAACAAACTGTGGAAAGAGCCGAGATGCCCTTCAGCGGACGAATGGATAAGGAAGATGTGGTCCATATACACTATGGAGTATGATGCCTCCATCAGAAAGGATGAATACCCAACTTTTGTATCAATGTGGATGGGACTGGAAGAGATGATGCTGAGTGAAATAAGTCAAGCAGAGAGAGTCAATTATCATATGGTTTCACTTACTTGTGGAGCATAAGGAATAACATGGAGGACATGGGGAGATGGAGAGGAGAAGGGAGTTGGGGGAAATCGGAGGGGGAGATGAACCATGAGGGACTATGGACTCTGAGAAACAAACTGAGGGTTTTGGAGGGGAGGAGGGTGGGGGTCAGGTGCACCTGGTGGTGGGTAGTAAGGAGGGCATGGATTGCATGGAGCACTGGGTGTGGTGCATAAACAATGAATTCTGGAACACTGAAAAAATAAAATAAAAAAATGAACATAGAGGTGCATGTATCTTTTCAAATTAGTGTTTTTGTTTCCTTTGGATAGAGACCCAGTAGTAGGACACCTGGATCATACCGCAATTCTGTTTTTACTTTTTTGAGGACCTGCGTCCTGCTGTCCATGGCGGTTGCAGGAGTCTGCTTTCCCACCAAGCGCGCACGAGCGTTCCCTTTGTTCCCTTTTCAGCACATGCTCGCCGGCACACTTGGTATTTCCTGTCTTTCTGGCAGAAGTCAGCATTCCGGCGGGTGTGAGGTGGTATCGCATTGTGGCTCCAGTTTGCATTTCCCTGCCCACGAGGGATCTTGACCGCCGTTTCATGGTCTGTTGGCATCTGTGTGTCTGGGTTTTGACTGTCTTTATGGAGGTGTGTTTAGCTCAGAGTGGAAGGCATGGGTCCCTACTGTGGGGTGCGCCGCACTTTGACACGCGGACAGACCCACACAACCTCTCACCCCCCAGGAACTGGAGTGTATTCTACGACCCCACAAAGCGCTCTGACTCCCTTCCCAGTCGATCCCATCACTACAGAACTGACTGGCGTCACCGTGGACTAGTCTCCCCCTTTCTAGAGCGTCGCACACTTGGAGCCTTGCAGGAGGCACTGCTGTGAGTCTGGTGTTCTCAGCCTGTGGCTGCGGTGCTGCAAGGATCACACGAGCGCTTCTCCCTGCTGCGATTTCTACCTTCCCCCTTTCCCCGCGGCTTCCTCCACTTGCTTCGCGTTCTCCAGCTTCTTCAGGTGGAGGTTTACAGACGGACTTCCGGTCTTTGGCTGGGGCACTGCTCTGCTTGGCATAGGCTGTCTCCAGTTCGAGGCTGTTTGGGGTAAGGCCTCTGGAGGGCCGTGGGCTCCGAGCCCCGCCCTCTCTGCGCTGAGCCCCGCCCTCTGCATCGAGCCCCGCCCCCTCTGCACTGAGCCCCGCCCCCACGCCGAGCCCCGTCCTCTCTGTGCTGAGCTCGCTGTCTCCCTGGCACCCTACTTGAGCAGTTCCCTTTCGCTTGGAAGCCCAGCCCGGTCTCCTGATCTCGGTTTTGGGGTTCGGTCCTTCCCCGGTCCCCGCTTCCAGGCCGGGATTGCTGGTGGCCCTGGTCACTGCTGCTGTGCGTGCACGTCTTGTTTTATAGACAAAGGCTCCTACTAACTGGCCTTTTGAACCACAAAGTCGCGAGAACTGGTGGGCACGGTCGTGTACTTGAAAACTATTCGAGCGCTTGCGACCGAATTCAGACTCCCGTGTTAGGGTCAGTCGGTCACAGAATGGGTTAGATGGACACTAACCTGCCAAACTCAGGGACATTTCAATACAGTGAGGCACACTGCAAAACAGGCACGATCCCCAACCTCGCAGCATATCCCTCTTAGGTATTAGCATTACTTTGGCTCTGAGAAACCCCAAAGGCTTAGCTAAACAAGGAAGAAGAAAAAGAACAAAAAGAATGAGGTTCTTAAGCCCAAAGGGTCAAGTGCACCACCTTCTACTGCCTCTGCTTCTTTTATGTCCAAGAATTATGGTCCCAGAGCTATGAATATCTGCAAAAATGGCAAAATCTTACTAAAAACAGCCTAAAATTACAATGGCCATTACGGAGAAGATTCCAATGAGACAGGATCATTTACTTCAGAAGTGGACTTGAGAGCAAGGTTTCCTAGACTAAACAAACAGAGCAGGATGCCTAGTTTAATTGCAAGGCAGAAGCTTCTAAAAGTCTTCACAATCCCAGAAGAGCTTCAGTGCTTCATTGCAGAAGCCTAATAAGAAGGGAGAGACAAAAGAGGTGCCTGAAACAAGACACTGGGCCTGGTGGGACTCCTCTGCTCGCTCCTTCCTCCTTGACCTGAGACCTCAGGACAGTCTCTGGACTCTGCAGACGCCATGACACGGTCACCTCCAAAAATAAAGCCACTGGAGGCTCAGGGATCTTCCTGAGTCTCTCTTACTTCTTGGTCAAAGGCCAAACAAAGCGCAATCATTAGAAGAATTTCCTAAGCCCAGGAAGGGTCCCCAAAAGTTCTCTGAAGAATTTAGATTTCTTACCCCGGGGTACCAGAGCTTCGTCAGCTGTGCACCTGCTGGTGGGGGCAGGGAGCCCCAATGTGGAAGCTGAGGATGACATTCCGGATCCCCAAACTTCAAGACGATGCTCTCAGGGGCCACAAAAAGCAGCAACCTTTCCCGGGTCATTCCTAGAGCTCTCCTGGGCCTCACCGATTGCTGTCACTCAAACGGCTGACGACAGACAGGTCTGTGGCCGACTTTTTAAAGTCCCCCTGGAATGTCCCTTTGTTCGGAGTTTCGGGGTCCAGACGATAACCAAGGGCACCCGACGTGTTCTAGCTGCTCTGTTTGTACACGGAGCATCTCCCAACATTAGGGG